GGGGCGGTGAGAATCCTAGGAGAAGAGGAGAAGGATCTGGGAAACCATTTCTGATTTTCAATCCAGTTTTCACCAAGTAACATATCATTGTTGAGCAGAAAAGATGTTATGATAAATTAAAGCAATTAACTAATGTTTTCATTTTATGAGGGCTACAAAATAATTTTATAGCATCTTAGATTATTAAATTACTTTTGCAAACTACTGTTAAAGTCATTTTAGACATGTAGTTCTCACTGGCCCCCCTCAGGAAAATGAAATATTAACCAATATTTTAAAATGATACTTCTCATTTTTCTCCAAAGGTTTATTTGGCTAAGACTAGGATATTTTTAAAATATGTGAAGTTACTAAGTACTTATGAATGAACTGTGATGTCTGAAAATTACTTCAAAGTATTATGAGACAAAAAAAGACAAAAGGGAAACAAGATTGGGCATGTGTTGATAATTATTGAAACTGACTAATGGGTACACAGATATTGATTATACTATTTTGCCTACTCTTACAGATCTTTAAGTTTTTCCACAATAAAAAGTATTAAAAACACCGAAAAAATGGGAAGTAAAACTCCATTTTAAACTATCCAAACTTAAAATCACAGATTAATACTGTGTTTGCTAGCTGTATTTGTAAGCATGTAGTCATTTATTTGAAAAAAAAATGAGAGAATATGTATTAGGTACTGTGCTATACATGCAAAAATTAAACAAACAAAAAAACCACTAGTCACCATGCCAAATACCTCAAGTTGCTCAAACCAGCTGGGTATTAGGTAATTAGAGAACTAATAATGTGGTAAGTGCTGTCAAAGTGCTATTACGAAAAAGTGCTTGGGATGCACCAAAAGGGGATTCATTATGCTGATGAAAAGAACTAGGTCCTAGTAGAGATTTCCTACAGAGAATGACATTTGAAGACTGGATTTTTCAGCCAGGGGAAGGAAAGTGGAAAATGTTCAGGCATTCAATGCAGGAAGAAGTTGCACTGAGCAAAAACAAAAAGCCCAGAGACAATGTGGCTTGTGCTGAGAATTGCAAGTAGCCTGCAGTGTCCCCATTGTGCCAATGGGTTAGAGTAAGGCAACAATAGGCTGGTGAAGTTTCTTAGATCATATTTAAAGGGTCTTAGACACGCAGACTAATCTGAACACAGAAGTCAAAGAAGCTTTTACAGCACAGAAAGGAATAGTCAAATTTATCTACATTTTAGAAATATTACTCTGTTGGCAGTATGGACGACAGCCTGAAGAATAAAGGGTGAGGCACAAAGATTATTCACTAAAAAGATGGGCCTGGACCAAACAGCAGTAGAAACTGCAGAAACAGAAGTGTGGCATAGAGCAGTAGACCACACAGCAGTAGAAACTGAAAAAGAGGGGCAAGGACTTCAGAAGCGTGACTGGCAGGATTCAGAGACCAGTACATGTAAAGAGGAGAACAGGGAGACTCAAAAGTAAGAGCCAGGTTTTAAGGAGTACTGTTTTTTCTCTAGAGCATGAACTCACGGTAACAGTGATATTATTAAGCAATACAGGGATCACAGCAAGAAAAACTAAAGATGGGGGCGCCTGGGTGGCTCACTTAGTTAAGTGTCCGATTCTTGATTTTGGCTCAGGTCATGATCTCACAGTTCCTGAGTTCAAGCCCCACATGGGCTCTGTGCTGACAGTGTGGAGCCTGCTTGGGATTTTCTCTCTCCCTCTCTCTCTGCCCCTCCACTTGCTCTCTCTCTCTCTCTCTCTCTCAAAATAAATAAATAAAACCTTAAAAAAACCCTGAAGATAATAAATTTAGTTTTGAATGTGTTGAATTTGAAGGTCTATTAACATTCTATTTAGTAGGTAATTTTAGAACAGAAGTTCGGGCTCAAGAAACAAGATAGCTACAGATAAAAGTCTGGGAGGCATCCATGTCTGTGTACCAAGAAGCGAAGCCATTACCCAGAGAGGTTATAGGGTAAACAAGATACAGGAGCCCAAGTTATCTCTAGTTAAGCCTTTGACGCACAAACCTCCAGGACATTTGTTGTTGTTACTGTAGTTGTTTTCATTTCTTTACTATTATTTAAAATATTTTTCATTTAAAAACAATACAGTCCCCCAAAACATTTTCTTTTTTCTCTTTACAAACCTAGGGCAACAGGCTAAAAAATGACCAAATCCAGGCTATAGCTCTAATCTAAGAAGTCCAGGCAGGACTTCTAGAGCCAACTGATGAGTAAAGCAGAAACTGGGCCAACCAACATAACAACACCAGGCTACCTCTTGCGTTTCAGAGGCCTTAGATACACCGATATGCAGCATCGAGTAAATTACATTACTTAAAATATTTCACAAAAGTCAATAAGTAACATCCCAAGGTACTCACCAGGCCTTTGATCCTGTTCCAGTACACAAATTGAGCCCTGAACTCTTCTGTTTTTCCCATGGACCATCATCAACTGAAATCTCATAGTAGGAAGCCCTAAGAATTGAGAATATAAAACTGGATTTGCTGAATTTATGGCTCACGGTAAATAAGACAAACACCGTTTCTTCAGAACTAATGGACTCTAAGTGGGCCAGCTTGACTCAGACATACCTGACTTAGGCACGCACACCATGATGCTAATACCAATACTGATTAAGTAAAAAAGTAAAAAAAAAAAAAAAAAATCTGTAAAACTGCATCCCTCTCCTATCCATATGCTCCTTTATATCAGTATTTTAACATTTCAAACAAGGGCTCCTTATAAATTTTTACCTATGATTGCTTCTACTGTTTTTATGGACTCTAACACATACAGATCCTTATTTCAGAATTCAAAAAGAAAATACCATTCTTAAGTGAGTTTCATTCTTGGTAGATAGTTCTTGATATATCCCAATCTGTATCTAATCCTTCAAGTTACCAACAGTTCCTGGTCAACTCGTGTTTTTTAAGTTACATGTTAATGTGCCTTTTGAATTGATAGTAGGCTAAGAGAGATAAAGTTCTAAAGAAAATTCTCAGTCAGTACTGCATCAGTGGGCAAAACCAGGAATAAAACTAAAACTATAATTTCTTTAGAGATTTCTATTTCTTACAGTATTTCGTAAGTATTAAATCAAATGGGTTTTCTGACACCAGAAAAAATGGCACTATTCCTTAACTGTGTGAACATACAAATTTGCAATTATTCAAAAAAAACTTTTGAAACATGTAAAAGCTTATTTTGTAAACTGTATCTTAAAATAATGGTGTCATTGATCAACACTGGGTTATTTTTGTCCAGCAGATAAAAAAGTTAAACTCTTAATATAGCTTTTCCAATAATGACAATTATTAGGCTTGCAAACACTAACATTCACTGGATAATATTATCTCTTATTTTAACCCTTTCAATTTCTCCTGCCAAATTCAATCTTTAAAGGTTTTACATGGCACAACTCCTTTTCATTTTTTCTCTGAAGTCACCATTCTTCATAAAAGATAGGCCTAATATTCACATTTAATCTATTTCATAGCTTTGTTATGTTTTCCTAGAATGTTGGGAATTTTAGGCATATTAGGAGCCTATTACATTCAGACAAGCCAGTCAACTCTACAGGAATGGCTGCTATTATGCCAGAATCACACTGAAACAAAAGATTGATTAGAGTTAAGTGGGGACAGGAGAGAAGCAGAGCTGGAGAGGAAGAAAAGTATAGTCAGGTAAGAGGTGTTGAGTCCAAAACAATGAGCAAATTTAGTGTCATTCTCACATGCAGGTTTATCAAGATTAGTCAACTCAGAAATTTTTTTTCAGGGAAATTATTTTTTTAAGGCAGCAATAAAACTCACAGTCCCTTTAGAGTGGGTATACTTCTTCTTAAATTCTCCACTGCTACAGCCCAAGAATAAGACATTCTAGGTTAGAACAAATAGGAGAAAAGAAAAAAAAATTGGGCTTTTAAAATGTTCTTAAATGTAAGAACATTATAAATGAGGCAGGAATAATATTGCTGCACTTCATATTTTCCAAGCAAAGCACTTAAGTTTTCAGGGCATAGTGAAGCCTCAGTACAGGACCTGGAATCAAAAATACTGGGTTTTATATGACAGTTCTAATGCTAACTAATTAATTATATGACCAAGGACAAGTCATTTGAACTCTTCAAATCTCAGTTTTTTCACTGATAATTACAACTACCCTTTCTCACAGGGTTGCTATGAGAGTTTAATGCGGTAATACACACAGTGCCTGACACACAGCAGGCATCCAGTAAGTGTTCATTTCCTCTCCAGCTAAGGGTCTATGTCATAGATTCATTAAAAGTAAGTTCTAATACCTCCAATAGTGAGAACTTTTTCAATAGCATCAGAAGCGAACCCACCGCTCTCCTTATCTTAGTAAGGATATAAGGTGAGGCTCAAAGAACACAAAAAGAAGCAGCATCAGACATTATTTAGGAGATAAACCAACCAAATCACTGCTGCCACAGAAAACAACATTCAATCTAAAATCTAATGGGACTTCACTGAATTCCCAAAAGTCTGTCAACTGATCCCAGTTTTCCTCCTTTTATAAGTTATTTAATTTTTAGTAAGTACAAATTATAAAGCAACACTAGTAGAAGCTCTCAGAAGTTACAACTTTTAAAATATACAAACCGAATATCATAAGCCATTAAATGGCTTCTCTAGGATAAACATAAACTTACAAAACATTTTTACCTTTGTCACCTATTATTTTTTTATTCAAGTATAATTAACAGTGTTCTATTAGTTTCAGATGTACAGTATGATTCAACAATTGTATACATCTCTCAGAGCTCATCAAGACAAGTGCTCTCTTAAACCCCTCTATCTCTTTCATCCACCACCCCTCCCCTCTGGCAACCACCAGTTTGTTCTCTGTATTTAAGAGTCTGTTTCTTTTTTTTCTATTTGTTCATTTGTTTTGTTTCTTAAAATCCACTTTATGAGTGAAATCACATGGTAATTGCCTTTCTCTAACTGACTTATTTCACTTAGCATAAAACCCTCTAGGTCCATCCATGCTGTCACAAATGGCAAGGTTTCATTTGTCATCTATTTAATGTAGAAATTTCTTCAATTTCATTTAAAGTTGTTGCTTTCTGCCTTCTGTTTTTAGTAATCATGACTAAATTATATCACTAATTAGAGATACATTTTCTGCCTTCTTTATCACATAAAAGTATCCATTATTCATTTCCATATTGCTTCAAACTTGGTATATAGCAAAAGAAAAAATCTTATGTATAGTGTAAGTCTTATTACTATGTTAAAATAAACATATTTACACTTTACATTCTGTAAAGAATGTATGTTTAGGATTCCTTTGAAGAATAACTTTTACTTTTAATACTTTAAAAAATTATACATTTTACCACGCTCCAAAAAAAATAAGATCCCTAGTGACTCGCATGTCACACATAGCAGGTACACAATATATTTTTACTGAATAAACTTAAAATTACATTAATCAAAATAATTATAACTGAAAAAGATTGGCCAAAGCATGCTGCTGAATCAAGCTTTGTTCTTTTCAGTACTACCTGAGTTAATGATTGGCTAAAACAGAGATATCTTCTTTAATTAAGACAAACATTTCTCATCATAATTAAACTTCTTATGAAAAGACAGGACAACGAACAGAATTCCAGAATACATGGAACTCTCAGTAAACTAGGGAATCAACTACATGATCTTCAAAGGGTCACATGGTTCTGGTAGCAGCAAAGTGGGACAGATTCATCTCTAATTTTCCACTCCTAATTCATTTACATCTAGAAAAATGCAAAGGCAAGTTCTAAATGACAATGAAGAATTAAATTAACGTTACATTATGGCAGTCATTTTACAGCTGGTAACTAATGTCACACAAAAAGTTTTGAAACAAAATTCTGACAATATAAGCCTAAGTTATACTCAACACCCACAAAACAGATTTCATCAGTAATAAAATACTATTATTTTTATACTAATGAGGAACTTTATTAACCTTAATATTTGCTAATAATGGTTACAAATCTTAAACTGTCAATATACTTGACATACGATGTTGCGTAAGGGATACAATTAGCACCAAGTAGTATTCCTGCCCAACATGTTTAGCATGAATCTCATCATGCATAGGAAAAAAATCATACAAATCTAAAACAAGGGATATTCTACAAACCAACTGGGTTAGACTATTCCAAAATATTAATATCATGAATGAAAAAACAGTGGTGGGACTGAGGAACTGTTCTTAATTCTGAAGGGCCATGATGGCCAATGCAATGCATAATCCTTAACTAGATCCTGGATAAAAATAAGCAAACAAATCTACCTTAAGGGACACTATTAAGATAATTAGTAGGGAAGTTGTGATATGGACTGTCTATAAAAGTTTGTAAAAACTGCAAATGTATGCCTAGTATATCATTCTCTTAAACATTTATAAAGCCACCTATATGATAGATTAAAGGCTCTGCAGTAACAGGACCCAAATAACTTTTTGTTTAATCTAGGGTTTCACAAACTTTTTTGGTCATAGAACCTTCTTTCCCCTTAACACGTATTATAAATGTGTGAGAGGGTTTGGGAAATATTTCATTTAATAATTCACTTCTATTACTTCTACCACCTTAATTATTCGTAATTCTTAAGTTATAGAAATTGAATAAATATCTAAAAAATACTAAAACATTAAATTCCAAACTCAAACTCAAGATCACAGGTTTAAAAGTACCTGGATGATAGACTCTCCCCAATGAAGACTTCATTTAGTGCCCTCACTGGCAAAAGCTGGGGTCCTGAAGCCTCAGGTCCTGAAGGTGATGAAAAAAATTTTTTCAAGACAACTTGTTTAAATCTTAGAAACGTTAGGATTTCAATTTTATGAGACATTACAATGTTCACACTTTTCACTATAATCCATACTTTAACATTATTAACATATAAATAAAATATTTATTTAAAGTGTTCATAATAGGGGCGCCTGGATGGCTCAGTCAGTTCAGCATCCAGCTTCAGCTCAGGTCATGATCTCACCACTCGTGGGTTCAAGCCCCGTGTCAGCTCTGTGTTGACAGTGTGGCGTCTGCTTCAGATTCTGTCTCTCTCTGACCCTCCCCCGCTTACTCATGCTCATTTGACTCTCTCATGCTCACTCGCTCGCTCTCTCAAAAATAAATAAAACATGAAAAAACTGGGGCGCCTGGGTGGCTCAGTCGGTTAAGCATCTGACTTCAGCTCAGGTCATGATCACAGGGTCCGTGGATTTGAGCCCCGCATCAGGCTCTGTGCTGACAGCCTGGGGCCTGCTTCAGATTCGGTGTCCCCCCCTCCCCTCTCGGCCCCTCCCCCACTCACGCTCTCAAAAAATATTTTGTCTCTCAAAAATAAATAAATGCGAAAAAAATTATAAAAAAATAAAAAACAAAAATATTAAAAAATAAATAAAATGTTCATAATATGAACCTCAAAGTCACCTAACATTGCTGCAATGAAGCCTCTAGCTCTCCAAAATAAGCCTTAATTCTTCTTGAAACAATTTTTCAAGACCGAGAAAATACATATTTATTCTTCTCATAAGATTTTTGTTGTCACATTTAATTTCTCTCTAAAAGCTTCAGAGGTAGAAATGATCAAGTACTTCCAGAGGAGAGCCACTTTGAAGTTAAGTGGCAAATTACACCCATGGCTCATACTGGAAACCAAATCAGTTATTATTAGAGATCAGATTTCTTTTTTTTTAAATAGAAAACTTCAAGAGTGTTTCTAGCAATAGTAGTCCTGAAGGAACACTGCCACATCTCCTTTCATGACTTCTGAAAAATGTCATCTTTTTTTTCTTTTTTATTCTATAAGGCTATATGCACAGTTTATGTAATCTGCCTTGATGATATTTAAACCTCACTTCATCACAAAATCCTCCAAAGGATTCCCACTGCTTTCTCAATTAAAATTGCAATTGTCACCTTCAAATGGTTTCTTTTACTTGTCTTTTATCAGTCTCCCAACTGGAAATGCGAACCTCATCTTCTCAATGTCACCAAAAGCAGATTCATTGCACCCAACTCTCGCTGGGCAAGCACTGTGGAACAAGTTCCCTTCTCTGTCTCCTCCATGCTTTCTCCTAAGTCAAAGCTTGAAAGTCTACCTGGACTGTGGTAACTAGCCTCTAACAGGGTCCCCAGTGAATCCTGCCTCCAGGTATTCACATTCTTGTGTAACTCTCTGATAGCATATTAGGTTTGGTCTATGTGACCAAATAGGGTACGATACAAGTGATGGTACGACACTTCAGAGATTTGGTTTAAAAAGCCACCCTGGCTTCCTTCCACCTCAGCCTCTTTTCTCAGATCACTTGGCTTCTGGGGGGTTGGGGGGATGGGGAGAGACTTCATGAGCAGTCCAATAAAGAGGCCTACATAGTGAGGAACTAAAGCCTCCCGCTAACAGTTATGTGAGGAGCTGAGAAGCACATCTTCCAGTCCCAGATGTCTTCAGATACTGCTGTCCTGGATGACAGCTTGATCCTCCTCCCAAAAGACTCTAAACCAGAACTAACAATCTAACCTGTTCTTGGATTCTTGACCTTCACAATCTCTGAAATCATAAATATTTGTGTTTTAAGATGCTAAATTTGGGGGTGATTCGTTATGCAGTAATAAATATCTAATACACACTAAACACCTCATATACTAATAAAATCTCTACCACTGTCACCAACACAACCACTGATCTAATATTCTCCTGACTTGCTACCCTATTATATTCCTGTTTATATGTTTATTAGACACTAATTACACGTATCTCATTTCTTTTGGATTCAACAGTCTATGGGGGACCCAATGATGCTTTTGAATATAACAAGTTGTCATAGAATGCCAAAGACCATAAGAAAACTTGTTATCTGATTAAACTGTACAATGGGCTAACGTGATCAGCTCAATCTCATAATATAGCTGAAAAAACTTGACACAAAAAGGTATATCAAAAAATTTGATATGTTTAATCAAATTCACATTAAAGATTATAAAACCTAACTTTTGAAACAAACACACACAACACTAGAATTTTTTTTTTTCTCTGTAATCTTTGGTTCTAAATTAGAAAGCTAGGGGAGCCTGGGTGGCTCAGTCAGTTGAGCATCTGACTCTTGATTTTGGTTCAGGTCATGAACCCAGGGTCATGAAATCAAGTCTGGCATAGAGCTCTGTGCTGAGTGTGGAGCTTGCTTAGGATTCTGTCTCTCTCTCTCTCTTTCTCTCTCTCGCTCTCCCTCTGCCCCTCTCCTCCACTCATGCTCTCTCTAAAAAAATTTTTTTTTAATTTACAACAGACAACATGGATGGAACTAGAGGGTATTATGCTAAGCGAAATAAGTCAGTGAAAGAAAGTATATGATTTCACTCATGTGGCATTTGAGAAACTCGACAGATGAACATACGGGATGGGAAGGAAAAATAAGATATAAACAGAGAGGGAGGCAAACCATAAGAGACTCTAAAATACACAGAACAAACTGAGGGTTGCTGGAGGGGAGGTGGGTAGGGGGACGGGTTAAATGGGTGATTGGCATTAAAGAGGGCACTTTTTGGCATGAGTACTGGGTATCCTATGTAAGAGATGAATCACTGAGTTCTACTTCTGAAGCCAAGACTATACTGATGTTAGCTAATTTGAATTTAAATTAAAAAAAAAATTAAAACACATAAATATAAATATATTATTAGAAAGCTAAATCCAGGATAAAACATAGTAGCATATTTATACTCTCAAATCTACTCCAATATTTCAAAATTCCTAATGGCACCCACCTAAGAAATGTTCCCTACCAACTTGCTAAGAATTTAAATAGAAAAAAATGAGATACAATTTGAAATCTTCCTAAATTTTTTCTCATAAAGCTATAAAAATAACAAAACTCACAAAAAAGCCCTCTAAAATAGTGCCTAGACACAGTTAAATATCATATAATTGCTTCTAACAAAAATAATTATTACAATAAGCATAGTAATTTCCAGTGTTACTATTGAGAATTCTGAAACTATTCTGATTCCAGATTCTTTATATATAAAATAACCTACTTCAGCCACAATCACCACCACCACTTCCTCTCTGGAAGCTTTCAGGAGCTTTGTTTCATCCCTAATATTCTGACATACCTTGGTTTGAAATCTGTTACCATTACTTGTGAGTCCTTTCAATTCAAAGAATGGTGCCTACATTTTGAGAAATTCTCTTGTGTTTTTTTTATTTTGAACATTTTCTCTTCTTTTTCTAGAAAAACATTAATCAGATGTGAACATCCTGGATGTTACTTAGTTAATAACTATGTGATTTTGTTTCTATATATATTTAGTTTTACAAACTAAATGGTAAATCTGAGACAGGAATCTGAGCAATGAATCTCTGAATATCAATCTATAGCTTTCCTATAATGTAGCTGGTGAATTTCAGAGCCAAATCTTAAACATCTCTGGTGGTAGCAATAACTTCTTTTGGTGAGTGATAAAGTAAACCTTTTAGTTAAAAATTTAAATCTTACTGCAGTCTTTGAAAAACAGTAATAGGAATCCATATTCCTATTGAATCCATATGATTGAATCCATATGATTGGGTGGGGGGAGCATCTTTAAAACATGACATGAACACATAGTTTAAGAATATCCTAACCTATATAAACCTATAAATCACCATGGGGGTGCCTTGGGGGCTCAATTGGTTACACATCCCACTCTTGATTTTGGCTCAGGTCACAACCTCATGGTTTTGTGAGTTCAAGCCCTGTGCTGGGCTCTGTGTGCTGATGCTGGAAGCCTGCTTGGGAGTCTCCCTCTCTTTGCCCCTCTCCTGCTCGCACTCTGTCTCCCTCTCTCAAAATAAATAAATAAACTGAAAAATAAAAAGCTTTAAATCACCATGAAAAACTCTGAGAACAATGACCATAAATAAACATCAGGTACCACGACAAGACAGAGACAAAACAGATATTTAAAGGTAGCTTTTCCTGGTAAGTTTAGCCAAGAAATGAAACACAGGACAAAAAAATATGTTTTCCTGGAGTCCGTAGATATCTACTATATCTCTTGGGATCTTCTTGTATCATAAAAATCTTATAGTTACTGGAAAAAGTGGGAAAATATGGTTAAATTATAACCCACAAATTAACTCACAACTGAGAATTCACCTGAACACTCATAACAAAAAACTGCGTATCACCTTATGCTAATATTCTCTTAGCAGTTTACAGAGATTGAAACACAAATCTTAAGGCTAAGATGCAAAATTTCTCAACAAAAAGGTTTTAAATCAATGAGCATAACTGTGGTGAATACATTTAAATACAACTATACAAGTGTATAATTATGATGAAATCTACATACTAGCTCGTTTTATTTCTACTGCTTTCTTTTTCCTTTTTGACATTTCAAAGATTAAGGCCAAGAATCTGTCCTTAAATATCAACTATTCTCTTAGACGTTTATAATCCTTCCATAATCAACAAGTTTTCAATCCTAGATAACATTTCTTCTGGAAATATGCTTACTTCTTATTTCAGTATCTAGTCATTAAATTTTACACCTGAAGTAGTTCACTGTATTTTCTTAAGTATGGTCAGTGGCACTAAAATCCTCAAATAATTATAAATTATTACTTCTAGAAATTAGAAATCAAAGGAACTCTAAGTTAAATATTGCTCCAAACACATCTAATTCCCAATCCACCTACTTTCATCATGAACTCTTTCAATGTTGAAGGCTCTGCTATGTTGATTCAAACTCAGCTGCTGTTCGTGAAGGTCCACGGGAACAGGGTTTATGCCAGTCCCTTCAAGGTACAATCTGATTCGTTGCCTCCATAACCACCTTAGAAGAGTGAAGGAAAATCAAATTAATTTAAGATAGAATAAAGTATTTTTAGAATTAGATATAATTTCACCAAATTAAAAAAATAAAAATATTAAAAAACTAGTTATCCCATGAACAAATTATACCAGAAACATCCAAAACCCACAGGTTCCTACTCAAAGACAAATTTAGAGATTAGGTCTCTCAATTATAACAGAAATATCTAATGTATTTATATAGAATCTCACACATAACTGAATTAAAGCCTAATTCTTTATCATATATCCATTAAATCTAAGATACTGAGTTAGATATAGTTGCATTTTGCTCATACAAAAACATAACATGAAGAAAAGAAAGCACTCTGAAATTAAAATAATACTGTGTTCTGGTGGTCAGATTAGACAAAATTCCCTCCCCTAAAATTCTGTAATGATGATTTTTTTTAATAATAAAAAAGAAATCAATGACAAATATTGTAACATTTAAGATTATACCTAAAACTTAAACATTTTTGATAAAAGGAAAAAAAATCAGGTAAAATTAATTTCAAAACCAAAAACTGATGTGTCAAAAAGTTAGTGGGACAGATTCTGCTAGATTAGCATATAAAAATATACTCCCATTTGGTAGCTATAAACTGGTCATCTGTAGAGGTGCCAAACTTCTGAAATCAATAGAAACTGGAATCATTATTAATGATTCCACAAGTCAAGAAGACTTAATACAATTTCACAAAAACCAGAGAAAAAGCTTTCTCCAACAATAAAAATCTAGTCTAAATCAGGAAATAAAAAAGTAGTCCAACTTGGCTCACTCTACTATCATCACCAACCCCATCTCAGTTCCTCCCCCCATCCTTCTTTTTTCAGGACAGCCTGGCCTCCGAACACAGTAAGTGAAAAAAAATATGAAAAAACATCCCCCTGCTTAAGATACACTTAATATGTAAAATAAAGACATCAGGAACCTTCAGCATAGTGGAGTAAATCCAACCCTCAGCCATTCCGGATGGGAGATGAGGATAAAAAATATAAAATCTCAGAATTTGAGCACTTAATTTTAGCCAACAGTTTTAACTATCTTTCTACCAAACTGCTAAGAACACAGAACCAGGTTTAAAAAGTAGAAATGTGGCCTCTATCTCACTGATGGAGAAAACCCCTCCACGTGCAATTATGTTACAGGCCAAGGGCACTTGTCAGGGTTTCTGGACAGTTCCACCTGGACTAGAAGAAAGTAAGGTAGAGATGTTTGTGACTCAGCTAGTTTATTACTTTTTATGGCTACTGTTGTAACTACGGACTAAGCCAAATATTATCTAACTTGTACTGTTCAATAGCGTTTTTAATAGCACATATTTATTAAGATTATTTGTAAAACAACTGTAAGAAATTCCTACCTGAACTCACCACGATAGAACTTCTGTAAGGCTTCTGGAAAGGAATGTGTATATCGAACAGGAAGACATAAATGACCCTCAGACCTTTAAGAGATTTGGAGTGGTGTAAAGGGAAGAAAGAGGAAAAAAAAATTTAATTCAAAAGGTATCACTAAGCTATAAAAATCAGACATAAAATTTTGTAAATTTTTATTCTATACTTCATTTTTTTGCTACAAAGTTTTCTGTATTTTCAATAAGACAGAAAGCCCAAACAGAAAGACCAAAGTGATTTTACATACAGTTTTAATGCCATGATACACAAAACTAAAGTTTCCACATTACAGTGAAACTAAAAAATAACAGCAAATGTGCCACTGATTTCATTTCCCTATAAAATTATCTGATGGTATAGTGACATTTGTATCCTACTTTTATAATATTTATCTATTAACTTTAGGCAAGTCATTTTAGCATCAGCTTCCTCATCTCTAAAAGGGTGATAGAACCACCAATCTCAAAAGGTTATTCTGAGGAATCAAACTATTTATGGTTCAAAAGTGAACCATAAATCTTTTAAATGTCATTTAAGATATTCCAAGTCATAAAGAGAAATCGTAAAGCTTAATCCAATGCAATCCTTCATTTATTAAAAAAATATAGAAGAATTAACTCCTTTTCAAGGCGTTAAAAGCTTGATGTATGGGGCGCCTGGGTGGCTCAGTTGGTTGAGTGTCTGACTTTGGCTCAGGTCATGATCTTGTGGTTCATGAGTTCAAGTCCTATGTCAGACTCTGTGCTGACAGCTCGGAGCCTAGAGACCACTTTAGATTCTATGTCTCCCTCTCTCTTTGTCCCTCTCCCACTCTTTCTCTCAAAAATAAACATTAAAAAAAAGAGCTTGATGCAGAAAACAATTTTTTTTTAAAAAATTGCAAATTACAAAGTGTTAAGATTGCCTATAGTTGCTATAGAAAGATGAGATAATATGGCACCTAACATGAGAAAAGGTGTCCAGAAAGCTCAATCATCATTACATGATGCGTTGATCTTGAAGGAAATATTGAGAGTAGGCTTTGCAAAACAAACTCTTCATAATAACTACATTAAGTGTGAAGAGCAGAGAAAACCTTTTCACAAAGTCGTGACTAGTCAATTTCTTTATCTGAGTGGATCAACACTGAAATTAAGACACTTAGGCCTTGCCTTTAATTTCTATACTCCCTGCAACACTTTACACAGTGCTAAGTATATAAAAGGTATCAACAGTCATTTGATAGAACAATACCAGCTAGGTCAACTGGAGGTCTAAAACATCCTGGAGAGAACAATCTCTCATGAGGTTATAGTCAGATATCAGCTAGGGCTATGAGCATCTGAATCAGGTCTGACTTGGCCTGAAGGATTCATTTTCAGTGTGGCTCACTCACAGGGCTCGCAAATTGTGTGAGCTATTGGCAAGACACCTCAATTCTTCTGCACGTGAGCCTCTCCATAGGGCTGCTTGACTATCTTCACATCATGCTGGCTGACTTACCCCAGAATGTACAATCCAAAAGACCAAAACAGAAGCTGGAATACCATTTATGACCTGGCCTTAGAATCTACACACTGTCATACCACATTCCATAGGCCAGTCCTGATTGAATACAGAAGGGGAGAGGTAACCACATAAAGGTGTAAATGCTAGGCAGCTATCTTGTAGGCTAGCTACTACATGTCGTATACCCTATTTTAATTATTAAGCATTCAAATGTCATTATTATTTAAAAGTTCAGTAGACGATTGCAGAATACAAACGAGACAAACCGAAGTTATATATTTAATTTACATGTGAGTGACCATGTGAGTGAACCATCTTAGAAGGGTATCTCCGAGCCCAAGTCAAGCCTCCAAGTGCCTGCAGCCCCACCTGACATGTAACTATAACCTTATGAGGAGAGATCTCAAGCCAAACCACCCATCCAAGCCACTCCTGAATTCCAGATACACGGAAACCAGGAGAGATAATAAATTATTTTTACTACTTAAGCCTTTAAGTTCTGGTTTGATTTGTTATGCAGCATTTGATAACTAATAGAGGAAAGGAAACTTAAGTTGAATATTAACTTCTAGGATTAAGGCTTGTGAGTCACCACAGTGCTTAAGAAAAAGAAGTCAGACAACCTGAATTACCGAACAAGCTAGGAGGCTTAATACATTTCTCGCCTGTAGACAAGAAGAGAAACCAAAGGACTTCTAAAGCCTATTATTCTAGGTAGAAATTAGAGAAGCAGTAGTGTCTGTTTACCAGTTTCAAAATCTCCACAAGCTTATGACTATTAAGCCAGGTTTTTAAAGGAAAATATGTCTCAACAAACTGTATGAAATGTGACCACTAAAGAATCTCTTAACGATATAAAAATATGCCATAAGAATTTCTAAAATATACATGCATCAACACTGAAAGCAGTCAAAAAAATATTTACTGAACCAATGATCTCAATAACTTATGCTCAAGAAATTTTTACTCAGCTAGGTTGGGGTCCTAGCCCTATTCCCTAAAAGCATTTAATTAATCATTCAGTTCAAAGGTTTACTGTCTATGGACTATGTATAATACTATAAAAGCAATAGAAAAATTAAAATACAAAGTCCTATGCTCAAGAAATGTATAGTCTAATGGAGGAGACAAACAACCAAGCAGAAAACGATATGAAAGGATAAGCATTCTCTACAGGGAATTATAGTCAGAGCCCACAAGATGCACCAGAGTCATGAATGAACAATTATACAACTACACAACTCAGTATGTGGTATAAGGGCATTCTGGACAAAAGCGCATATATAGACATGAAAAGAATATGGGCCTTTTGGAGAACTCTTTCACTTATTCTTTCAAATCCTACTGTCTTAAATATCAACAAAGCTCCTCACCAGAGGAAAAGCCTCCACCCATGGTGTCAGCAGATGCTCAGATCGAACATTTGCACTTAAGAACGGCCGTCAGAGTGGGCAGTAGAGGAACTGGTGAGGATGGTTAAAGGTACAAACTTCCACTTATAAGACCGTAAGTACTGGGGATGTAATGGACAACAGGATGACTATAGTTAACACTGCTGTATAGTATATCTGAAAGTTATAAAAAGAGTAGATCCTAAGAGTTCTCATCACAAAAAAAAAGCCCTTTTTTGTCATGTCTATATGAGATAAGTAAATTTACTGTAGCAATCATTTCACATTATGTATAAGTCATTATGCGTTACACCTTAAATTTATGCAGTCTGCATGTCAATTATATCTCAACAAAACTGGGAGAAAAGATGCAATTCAAAAAAAAAAAAAAGAAACAGCCTTAGGAAGAATCCTAGGCTGTTCCTAGAGGTGTTGTTTTTGTTGTTGTTTTGTTTTTTACTGAAGAGCATACAGTAAATGAGGATAAACTAAAAAGCAAATAGGCATAAACAGATGGTGAAAGATCATACTATTATACTAAGAAATTTGCAATGTATCCTAAAAGTCATGGGAAAGCCTAAAAGACTCTAATTTAGGAGTGGATACACTATTTGTACTTTGGAGTAACATGAAGACAAAGTGTAATGGATGGGTTGGAAAGAGCAAGACTGGGAGCTACTGTGGTAATTTAAACGAAAGCAACAAACTATAAATGCCTACACAGTGTTCATTACCAGTGACGATGGCAAGAGATGGACTCAAAGGTAAGATCCCAAGAACTCAGAATTAGATCCATAGACCAGTGTGGTAAGGTGGGGATGGGGTGGGGGGGTGGATGAGGGACAGGTGGTCACAGCTTTAGCACAGGTTATGACTCCATTCATCAAGTATGGTAGGGGAGGGCAAAGGAGATAGGTTCGTTTGCAGGCATGTTACTTTTTTTTTTTTTTTAAATAGGCTCCATACCGAGGCTTAAACTCATGACTCTGAGATTAAGACTCAGACGGGGCACCTGGGTGGGTCAGTTGGTTAAGTACCCGACTCTTGATTTCAGCTCAGGTCATGATCACACCGTTCATGAGTTCGAGCCCCATGTCAGACTCCACACTGATGGTGCGGAGCCTGCTCAGGATTCTCTGTCTCCCTCTCTTTCCCTTCCTCCTTCCCTCTCTTTCTTTCTTTCTGTCTCTCTCTCAAAGATAAACAAAAAAAAAAAAAAAGCCACATGCTCTACAGACTGAGCCAGCCAGGCGCTCAGACATGTTACATTTTTAATGCCAATGGATACATTCAAGTAGAGGGTAGAATGGCTCAAATAAGAGAAAAATAACAGGAGAAAAGGACAAAGAATAATCAGGAACCAGAAAACGTAGAGTCTTACATATCACAGCGAAGGAGACCAACTGTTCCAGTTTGCCTGGGACTGACAATTTTCCCAGGACATAGAACTTTTGGTGCTAAAACTAGAAAAGTCCTTGGCAAACCAGGATGAGTTGGTCACCCTAGCCAGAATAAAGAATTAGATTGTACTCTGAGTTAGATAAGGGAGCCACCATAAGATTTGGAGCAGAGAAGTCACTCTGGCTGCAGTGGGAAGAGAATATAAATACGGGTAAGAGTGGAAACAAGATCAATGTTAGATATAAATATTTTGGAGTCCACGATCTAAGTTCAACCAGAGATATTAATCAGCTATTCTGGAGACATTATAAAGAGTGAAAGAGAGGGGCGCCTGGGTGGCTCAGTCGGTTGAGTGTCCAAATTCAGTTCATGGTCTCGCAGTGAGTTTGAGCCCCAGGTCGGGCTCTGTGATGACAGCTCAGAGCCTGGAGCCTGCTTCGGATTCTGTGTCTCCTTCTCTCTCTGCCCCTCCCCCACTTGTACTCTGTCTCTATCAAAAATTAAAAAAAAAAAAGGAGTGAGAGAAAGATGGCCCAGAGGGTAATATATAAAAACACCACTATTTAAGCAGTGACTAAAATATAACATCCTTCAAAAGACACAAAGTAGTAGCCATCAGGATAGGAAGAAGGGGCAGGGGGGGAATGGCGGTCATAAGTGCCAAAGAAGTACAGATGCATTAAAGGAGAAGTCAGCACCAAAAATTTCCCAGAAATCAAGTTAGACAAGGACTAAAATTTCCAGTAAGTTCAATAACCAGGACATCACTAGTAAGACAAAAAGAATGTCAATGAACTGGTGGGAGCAAATCCAGAAAAGCTAGCAAAGGTTTAAAAACAACTGAAGTAAGTAAGTGGAGATACCAAGCTTGGGGGTAAAGAGGAAGAAAAAGAATAATAATCAAGAGAAAGGCACAGGGTAAAGAATTTATTAAATTTTCTTAAAAGATGACAGTCTTGAGCAAGGTTTAGCCTAAGAGGAACCATGTGCAAAGGGAGAAAAGGAAAGAAAGGGAACAGAACAAGGTTTTTATTTTAAGCCAAGGAAAAGGTAAAGAAGTTCTTATCCAATGACTTCCATTTCCTCTATCAGGTAAAGGAGAAGGCTAATGCTGAAGGAGGAAGGGTAGGAAAAGCAGGGAATATATACAGGTTAAATAGCTTGAAGAAGCTACCACACAGAATGGGGAAGAGAGAGGACCTGAGCCACACAGAAAATTTTGGGTCCAGTTCTAAGTGCTAGAAACTACAAATTGGAAGTAAGTTGGGGCGCAAACTAGGCCACAAAGCTTAAGTTTCTATTTTTTTACCCAAATGGCCTCAGCAGTGCTGATGGAGGAATAAAAAGGATGATCGACAGAGGTAGGATTGAGCAGAAAGACAATGGTACAAAATGTCTACGAAATTTGTCAAGCAAATGAATGAAGTGAGGGAAAATTAATTGAAGAAAATAGAGGGGTTCAATGCACTGAAAACCAAAGGGCAGACTTAGCAGAATTGAAGGAATAAGACTGCTATTAAAGATAGGAGACTGCGGTCAGAGTGGAATTAAGATTTGCGAGATGGGGCAATTCTAGATGATCATCAAGTCCAGGTATGGTCATACTGTGGGTGGCTGGAATAGAATGATGCTAAATGTCAGTGAAGCTGAGGAAAGAAAAAAAGAAGTGATGACAGGGTTTGGTCTCTTCATTAAATTGATGAAGTCACCCAGAAAATCAGTGGAGATATAACCAAGAATGGAGATGAGAGACATAAGAAAGGTAGAAGATGGGACATTAACTCATCCCTCTTCAGCAATACTGAAGGACACCAATACTCACCTAGGTCAAGGGCTCAGGTCTATCCTGCCACAGATCCTACTCCCAGACTACCTGGGAAGTCAAATGTGAGGACCTGTCCATCCCATATCATAATTTTCTACCACCAATGGCAGCTAAATGCATATATATTTCTCATGCCTGAGCTATAAGCAAGAGCTAGATCCTTGGAAACAACTTGTACTAAAGAAGAAAAATTATACTAAAAGTAGAAATGAATTCTACGTGCCTGAATTTCATCTCTAAAATGTTTTTGGAACATGATTCTAATATTCATGATAACCAGGAACAATGATGCTTTCACTTAAACATCATGCACCACAGTAAACTCTCTGCAGCAACAGAGCACAGCAATGTGACTACGGTAGAGGAAATAAAGACCTTCCAAAATTTAAGATTTATCAGAAATAGATACTAAGCAGAGCAAAGCATAACTGTATGTACAACACACACACACACACACACACACACACACACAGCAAATAAAGAGAATGTGTTTTTCCTTACCGTTCTGGATCAGTGTTTACTCCAATAACTGGTTTAAGTCTGTCCAAGACTTTACTTGCCGCCAGAAGCATCGTGCCATCACCTACATAACCAGATTTGTTACAAAACTAGTTTTTAACATCATTCTGAACACAAGTACTTTTATTTTAACAATCTCACTCCCACCCCATCCTGTTGACCACCAGAGGCCTCTCCACTGCCTTTCTACCCACCAGCCCTAACCCAGGATTTCTCAACAGTGGCAAGACTGACATTTTAGGCCAGATAATTCTTTGTTGTGGGGGGCTGTCCTGTGCAAAACAGGATGTTCAGCAGTATCCATGGCCTCTACATGCTAGATGCCCAGTAGTAGCCTCCAATTGGGAACTACTGCTCTAATCCTATCACTTCTATTAGCCAATTCTTTTTCTTTCTGTCATAACATCAATCCAAACTCATAAAATATTTTAATGAGAATATATCTAACAAAGTGTCCGGTGTAGATTTTTCGAACAAATGCTATCAATTTAAAGCTTTAGAAAGAATGTTCACTAACTTAATAATAAAGCTCAGGAAAAAATAGGTATAAGTATATGAGAGTCAGAGTGGGATGAAATTTATCTAATCCTGTTAAACTCTTAAATAATTTCAACTTTTTTTAAAGACTAGTATAACTAAACCAAAATACAGTTACAACTCATTCTTTGAATCATATTTGAAGTTAAATATACCTTTAATATACATGGAACCTCACAATAACATCATTCACTAAAAAAGCAAAATGTTACATATAGCAGATCTTTTTAAATCTTATCCTAAAAATCTAAAAATGCATCTTGTGGTAGGATTCTGAAGCCTTCAATACAGCTAGACTACAGGGTATCTGGAAATGTATATTAAAGAGTATTTCTGTATTCCAATCTTTCCCTCTGTAAAACTATTACCTCCTGCAGCTATGACAGCATCTGCCCATCGAACAATTTCTTCATCATATTCTCTCCTCTTTACTAGGCGAACCTCAATTCCCTCATTCCTAAGATAAGAAAGTAAACGTTACATAAAATTTCCATTAATAATTTAAAGGATGTTTTCTGAGAGGCAAATTATTACAATGATGTAAAATAAACTTGTTTTATAAACAAATTCATGTTTAGCTTTGCAAGCTTAGCTTCATTTTAATTACAACAGCCAATTAACTATGGTAAGTCAAGATGCACAAGAGTAAACTGAAAGTTAATAATGATCCCAAATCTTTACATGCTTTAAAAACATCTTGTTACAGTCCCTGACAAATAGCAATATTGATAAATGAGAATTTCAATTCATTTTCTCTATTCCTGATGCTAAAATTCATTAATACAAAAATGTCCTAGAAGAGTCACATCTTGAGAGACTTTTAATTATAAAACAAAATAGTCATTACTTTAAATCCAAAATATTCATTCAGTTGTCAGACGCTGAAACAGTAACTAAAATACTTTCTACTTTGCATGTTCTCACACTGATTCTCTTATATAAACTTATTCACTGACTGCATTAATTGAATTAACTGAAGTTTCTATGATATTCAGACATTCAAATAATATTTTAATGAACACCCATATAATCTAGTATTGTTTAAAAAAACATTACATATACAGTTCAAGCATAATGTATACAGAATTGTCTCTGTGGAAAAAGCACTTCTCAGACCAAATATTAACTGAAAATCTGTGAAATTTTCAGAGTACAAAAATTTCCTTAGAAACACTACAATGTCAACTCCATTAACCATGATATAATTTTCTGAAAATTATTTTATAACGGAAATCTTTACTAAAAATCGCAGGATCATCTTCTAGTAAAAATAAAAATTAAAAGTCCTGAATACAAAAGCCCATCCAAGATCCAATCCCAATGACTCACCGTAAACTATCTAGAATATGCTCTACATTTTTGGTGTGAATATGATGCCGTTCAAGCAGTCCACTGTAGCTAGAGCCTTTCAATGCAAGCTATATCAAAATAAAACAAATTCTGTCTTATTACATGTCATATAGTACACAGTATAACATCTCTCTTTAAAAAACCCTATGTAAAAACCAAAAGATTTTTTTTTTGAAGGTATATTTGTAGGACTACAAGTTTAAACTGAACTAGAAAGCCTGACTTCAGAAAATTATAATTTGGTTTCAACACCAAATACAACATTAAGTTTCCTGAATCACGTAGTTAACAAGATCTCAAAATTTGCCTATTTGGGGCACCTGAGTGGTTCAGTCGGTTGAGCGTCCAACTTCAACACAGGTCACGATCTCACAGTTTGTGAGTTCAAGCCCCGTATTGGGCTCTGTGCTGACAGCTCGGAGCCTGGAGCCTGCTTAGGATTCTGTGTCTCCCTCTCTCTCTGCCCCAACCCACTCGTGCTCTCTCTCTCTCAAAAATAAATAAGCATTAAAAAAATTTTTTTGCTTACTTTACAACTAATTTTTTAAATGGATTTTTAACACATTGCATACGGCTACTCGAAGACCAAAGATAAACTAATCTTCTAATATTTTAGAAGGCAGTTAGATGACCTTTACTCCACTTGGATTTGCAGCTCTCTTCTGTTCAGATTTATAAACTCTATTTGGAATTTACCCCACACAATCCAAACAAAGGACTGGTTAGCTCACTGAAATTGGATAACATTTAGATATAAAGACATATGTCATTCAAGAATTATCTTTCCTAGTCCATTGGAGTGACATTTTATAATGTTACTACCATACCATTAATATTCTCCTTTTAAAGTATATGTCTTCTAAATAAAATAAAAGTAAATAAAATGTTGAGAGAGAAGTTTAGAAATATCTTCAATGAACATCCATTTAATCAAGTAGGAAATTTGTCCAGTAGAGTGAATGCCAGAATTAAAAAGCATATTGTGGGGCGTCTGAGTGTCTCAGTCAGTTAAGCATCCAATGTCAGCTCAGGTCATGATCTCGTGGTTAGTGGGTTCAAGTCCCACGTCAGGGTCTGTGCCAACAGCTCATGGCCTGGAGCCTGCTTCAGATTCTGTGTCTCCCCCTCTCTCTGCCCCTGCCCCACTCACACTCTATCTCTCTCAAAAATAAACATTAAATAATAAGCATTAAAAAAATAACAAGCAAAAAGAGTTTCTCCTACAAAATTTCCAAAAGCGAACATCACTTCTGCCCAAGTAGCCTGAAAGTTAAAATACAACAAAGCATGAACGGAAAAATGGATTCTAAACCAACAAAAATTTGTCCACATTAAAGTTAGATGTGATAGGTTATTTCCTAAATGATCCAACTGCTTTTATTAAAGTATCATAGATATTTTTACTTGACCTAAACTGAGTTTATTACGAAACAAATTTTTAACTTATTTTACTAGTCAGCTGAATGTTACTACTTTCTACTCTCTGTAATAAGTCACAGGAAAGCTCAGTAAGGGAAGGAAATAGTCTTTTCAAATTTAACGCATAAGAAATACACAAACTTTTTGAGACAATGACCTGTTTGTTTGGTATGTAAACTCACTAGGCAGAATTGAAGCACTCTTAAAAAGAGTACCCACTTAACTAAATGGTACACTGTTAACTCAAAACTGCCTTACACTGATGAGAAATACCTAGTCGACAGCTAGAAAGTAAACTATTCCACTTAGCATGATCAGGCCTGGTACAGTGAACCCTAAATATTTCTCCAGCTATATTTGGCATTTATCTTAGATCATTTCAGTTTCACTTAGCCTTCCTCCCAGGCACTCACCTTTACTTTCCCCATAATTCTCTTCCTACTTCTGCCTTCCTCTTTTTATCCTGTTTACCCATTCCCTCATACATTGGGATTGCTCAAGGTTCCATCTCTGACTTTCTTACCTGCTCCCACTTCGTGTTCTTGGAGTTACCTCCCTGCTGCAGGACTTGATGGCCCAAGTATACACTGGCAACTATGAAATATACACTGTTAGCTCACATCTTTCCTTTAAGCTTTCGGCTCAAATTTTCAACGTGAGCATTTATACTCCCCCATTGGTAGATCAGGTACCTTTCCCCACAACCATCTAAATCTGATTACATATTCCTCCTTCAAATTTGCTCTTCTCAGTCCCGTATACCAGTTAATAATACTTACATTTATATAAGCAACAGAATAAACGCAGGAGTCACCTTTAATTCTTCCCTCACACTCAATCTCCACAGTCAGTGGTGAAGAACAACAATCTGTCCACAGTCATGCTGCCACTGCTTGAGTCCTGGGCAACATCAGCTCTCATCCGGTGTCACGTAATAGCCTGCCTCCAGAATTTCTAACTGCTTCCTTTAAAAGTCTTTATTTCCCAGTCCTCCAACCTAACCACCACTACCAGAAGCCTGCTTTCATACTAGGCCCAGAATGCTAACGTCTCAGAAAAACTGACCCTCCACTCCTCTTGTGGGGAAAGAGAACAGGACTGACAGTTGTTTTCTATTGCTAAAAAACCACTGAAAATGACTAGGACATAAAGCAAACTCCTGCACATGACATTTAATACCCTGATAAGGTCCAGCCTACCTGTTCCCTTTCTATATACTCACTCTTGAACAATGATTTTCAAACTGCCCTTAAAATGGCTGTCACATCAATTTATTGATCACAAGCAGCACTGGTATTAAGAATAAACTCTACTACATGCAACTGCTCAGTTGTTTCATATTACCTTTTATTTCAAATACGAGTATATGTACTTAGTGAGTCATATGTAAAATTTTTCCAACTGTAGATTACAGTCAGAAATATCTCAGTTCTTTTGGCTGGCAAAGATTAACTTCTCCACTGTCTCATTAGTACTGTTCTCTATCCTTGACATATAAATTCTTCCTTATTCTTTAATATTTAATTAAAATACCCTAAACTTAAAGGATCTCATTTCACTCTCATCATATTGGCAAAAATGATAAAGTCCACCAAGTGCTAATGAGAACACGGGGTATCAGGGAGATGTTCAGTGCTTATGGAAATATTATTTGTACTTCTAATTGCATTTTTTAATAGAAAAAAACTAGAAACAACCTCATTATCCAAACAATGTAATACTTGACAGCACTTAAAATGAATTAACATATATCAAAATAGAGAAGTTTCAAAACCAATAGTGAATAAGCAAAGCAAATTTCTAAAGAACAGGTATACAATTTAAAGAATATATTATTGATGTAACTTTAAGACACACAATACACTTTTTATGGGCATGGTCACATTAATAAATGTATAACATACGCATGAAAAAGATATATATGTGTATATATATATATATTTATTTAACAACTTCAGGCTAGTGGTTACCTCTAGGGACACAGGGAGGAAAAAAGTTGGAATGATAAGGCTTTAGTTATAACATTCCTTTTAAAAATATCTCTGGCATTGGGGCACCTGGGTGGCTCAGTTGGTTAAAGGTCCGACTTTGGCTCAGGTCATGTTCTCATGGCTTGTGGGTTCGAGCCCTGTGTTGGGCTCTTTGCTGACAGCTCAGAGCCTGGGGCCTGCTCTGGATTCTGTGTCTCCCCTTCTCTCTGCCCCTCACCTGCTCACACTCTGTTTCTATCAAAAATAAACAAATATTTAAAAAAAATTTTTTTGTAAGTATCTCAAGCAAATGTGGCAAAATATTAGTATCTGTTACGTCTCAGTAGCTGGATATACAGGGGTCTATTTTGAAAGTTTTCTATGTGGTAAAAACATTTCATAACGGAAAGTCTAAACTTTAAAAAGATCACTAGCAAGTCTACTTAAAAGTTGAAAAAATGCAAAGGTCATCTTTTTCTCTTTCATTCTTACCCTTCCCAAATTACTCCCTCCCTTCTCTGTATTCCCGTGGACCACTTACAGTTATAACACAATTTAAAATATTTTCTCCATACATTTGGGAACCCTTTTATTCACCTGTGGTTCCCCAGAACCTAGCAAGTGCTCAATGAATGGGTGACACTTTAAACAAATTAACCAACAAACTTCATGAATGTTGGCAATAGTGACACTGTAAGCAAGTTTTATTTTGAAACATATTTTTAGATCTTATTTTTAAAGACCATAATTTTTATAATTATTTTCTCCACTACAAAAATACTTTTTTTTTTTTTTTTTGAGAGAGAGAGGACAACAGGGGACAAAGGCAGAGGGAGAGAGCGAGAATCTTAAGCAGGTTCCACACTCAGCACAGAACCCAACACGGAACTCGATCCCACAACCCTGGAATCATGACCTGAGCCAAAATAAAGAGTTGGACACTCAACCGACTGAGCCACCCAGGCGCCCCACAAAAATACTTCTTAGAAGAAAGTAAACAATTGAAAACTATCACTTCCTCCAAGAAATGGGCTTAAAAAAAAAAA